GGCGCATCCTCTCCTTCTGTCTCAGCACTTTTTTTCGGAGAAGTTTTATCGTGCGATGGAATGTGCTTACTGCTCTTGGTTGCAGCGCCCTTCACCGTTTCGTCTACATCTACCTCAGGACGTTGAGGGGATGTGGGGAATTGAGTGGGTGGCGAGACGTCAGCCGGCGTAGGGAGTCCAGTGGGTGCCGGGCTCGGGAGGGAGCTGCCTCCTTCAGCTGCGGATTCGCCTGTGGGCAGAGTCGCAGGTGTGGGTGTCTCAATAGGAGGTGGATCTCGTTCCCCCCGCTTGGCATTCAAAAGGTATCCCCCAAGTGCACCGGCTGCAAGAAATGCCAACAGCGCCCCTGTAAGAAGTGCTGGTACCTTCTTCTTGGTAGCCCTGGATACTGGTACAGCGGCTTTTTCGTCTTCGGAGAAGCCAGCTGGGGGCCCCGCTCCCCGCCCAATACTGTGGATCTCACGCTGTGCCTGCTTCCCCCCTGCAGGGGATTTGGCCGCATCTTGATCAGTAACTGGAGCTCCGCGCAGTCCAGGAGAATAATCAGAAGGCTCTTGTCGCATTTTCCATTAGGTTCAGCTCTGTTTCCCAAGAGGCTGCCTCCCCAGCCGTCTGCGGCTGCAGTGCCCGCCAATATAAAGCCCCTAGAACTCACACAGGAAAACCCGAAAATACAGCAGAATTGTTGATAAAAACAGAAATAGGCTTAGTCGTCCCCGTTTACGGGAAAATGGCGTGAGGTTGTTGCCAATAAGGCACGGGTGGCAGTGTTCGGCGGAGACTGCGTGCATGAAGCGGCAAGGCACTCGGAAGCAAGTCCCGGTTTTGTGCCTTGAAACTCACAAATATAAGAATTCACGTAATTGAAATGCGTGTACTTGTTTTTGGTGATGTTTGGTGGGTTGTTACAGTGCGTACGTAGTGTAGAGCTGATCGGCGACACTGCGCGCTGCTTACGCCTTCCGCTTCACGAGAATATTAGANCGTACGTAGTGTAGAGCTGATCGGCGACACTGCGCGCTGCTTACGCCTTCCGCTTCACGAGAATATTAGATACTGCCGGCAGTTCCATTTCAACTCAACGCATATATTTTCCACTGTGGGCTACCAGTTGCATTTGTTCTAGGAGTGTGTTTCAACCTTCCAACGGTTCCCTTATGCCACAGTGGTAGTGGCTAGGCTGCTCTGCTCCCGTTGCACCCCATGTGTGTAGCATGAGTTAGCGCATAGTTAGCTCAGGAGCCTATCAACGGCCTTGGCATGCTGCGCGTAAGCGCCTGCAAACGTTATACAAGTTCGTTAAGAGGCAAAGCATGCAGCAAAGGAAGCTTCCCTGGAGCTTCCTTTAGTGCACGCGTGGGGCTGGCTTGCTCTGCCAGCCGCAGCGGGGTGCGCTGCAACCCTATTTCA